CTTGACAAGCTGATTGTATGGGAAATCATAAGATTGAAAATGTCCAACATAATTTTAAAGAAAATAGGAGAATAACTAGCCCTGTTAGATATAAGACTTATAATGAGGTATTGACTTGGAGATAGACAAATTGACTAGTGGAACAGAGAAGAAAGCCCAAAAATGGAACCATGTATGTGGAAATTTGGTGTAACAGAGAGAATTTTAAGCCAGTGGTGAAAGGATTCAATACATTTTGTTGAAATAATTGGATATCCATATAGATTAAAATGAAATTAGATCCCATTTACCAAACAAAAATAAAATAAAATAAAATAAAATAAAATAAAATAACTGAATATGGTAAGCAAAATTTTAAATGTTTAGAAGATAATCTCAGAGCCCTGTCTGAGTGGCTCAGTTGGTTAGAGTATCATCCCAATACACCAAGGTGCAGGTTTGATTCCCTGTCAAGACACACAAAAGAATCACCAATGAATGCATCAGTAAGTGAAACAACTAATCAGTACTTCTCTCTCTTTCCCCTCCTTCCTTTCTCTAAAAAATCAGTAAGTAAATTTTTTCAAAAAGATAATATTAAGAGAAAACATTCATGACCTCAAGTAGTAAAGATTTCTTTAATAAGACACAAACAGCTCAAATTATGAAGGAGACTGATTAATTTGACCACATTAAAATTTAAAAGATCTATATATCAAAAGATATTATAAAATAATGAAGCAGCCTCAAACAGGGATGTTATTTGAAATATATAATAAATAATGAATTAATATCTAGAGTTTATAAAGAATGCCTCCAAGCAGTAAGAGAAAGGAAGCCCAATCAAAAAAAGGGTAAAAGACAATAAAAGATAATTCACAGAAGAGGAATCTAATGCTCAGTAACATAAAATATGCTCAACCTTACTGGTAGTCAGATATAGAACATAGTTTTTACTGCTTGTGATAGAGAGCTAAAGCAATAGTGGCATTAAAAAAAGGAAATTTATTTCTCTCACAAGTGAAAGTCTAGGCTGTGCTCCATGAAATTATCAAAGTTGTTACATCAGTCTTTGGCAGAGACAGGCACTTTCTGTCTTGTTCTTCTGCCATTCCTAGGTGTTGCCCTTGTCTGTGTGGTCCAAGAGGGTTTACCACCAGATCTGTATTTTAATCAGTAGAAAGTGGGACAAGTGAGGAGGGGGGTCAATTGGGCACAAGTTAGAAATTGCACACATTACTGCTGATAAAACCATGTATCCTCACTTTGCTGCGAGAAGCCTGGCAACGTTGTCAGTCATTATTCTGGGTAGCCCTTTGTCCAGCTACAAATTGGATTTTCTATCACTATAGTGGAAGGGAAGAAGTTTGGGGAGAGCACTCTCCACCACATCAGGTCAACGAAGAGTGTTTCACACTCATTTGATTGGGAAAAAATTAAACTTTTGAGAACAAGTGTTGGCAATGATGTGGAGCAAAGTGAACTCTTATATGCTGCTTGTGAAGCCCACAATCAGTTTGGAAAACAACTTGACGATACCAAGTAAAGCTGAAGATGTGCATACTCTCTGAGGAGGCAGTTCTGTTTCTGCGATATACTGTAAGGAAACTCTTCCACATGTATACAAGTGGTCATGTACAGGAATGAGTTCAATATTATTTGAATTATCAAAATAATTGGAAAATTTTAAATACTCATTAACTGGAGAATGGATCAATTGTGGTACAATAATATGATGGAATTTCACATGAGAGTGAAAATGAAGAATTACCTGTATCATCAGCAAATAAATCTTAAAAGTATAACATTGGGGCACAAAAGCAAGTTGTAGAAGGATATGTGCAATATACTATTTCATAAAGTTTTAAAAATGCAAAAACACTGCCAGATATTGTTTACAGAAACATATGTACTGTATGTGGGGGATCTGACAAATAGCACCTTCTTTTCCTGCCCAATTTCTGAACTAGTTGAGAAATCAAATGAGTCAATAGATGAAAACCAAAATATCCCCTTCATTACTGACCAAGGATAGGTTGAAGGCTATGGCTTAATATGAGAACTGAAAAGGTCTTGCTAACTCCCTACTGCCAGTACAGACTTTAGAGCAGTTTGCCTGTAGGAAAGTTTGCGCAGCAAACTAGACTTCCCCTGCCTCTCAGGTCACTGCCTCTAACCAATCAGGTAGAAAGGGAAGGAGAAAGAAATTAAATCTTTTACTCTGAGGACATATTATTTGATCAAACCATCTAGCCCAGAACCCCAAACCAGCAACTGTCACTCACCAATCAAAGGTAGGATGAAGATCCAGGAAGGTTTAAAGAAAATCTCTCCTTAAGGAACCAAAGGAATGGGGTAGAGATATCCTAACACATATAAGTTCAAAAATATTTGTGGGGATTGTTAAGAACCAAATTCAAGGTAGTCATTACTCCTAAGGCAGTGATTCCTCACTCTAGCTCGTATCAGGATCTCCTAGAGGGCATGTTAAATCATGCATGGCTCAACCCCACCTTTAGAATTTCTGATTCAGTGATCTGGGATGGGGCCCAAGAACTGGCATTTCTGACAAGGTCACAGTTGATGCTGTTGGTGTTAGTCTGGTGATCACACTCTGAGAACCACTGCCTTAGGATGAGATGAAGAAAAGAAATGGTTTCAAGGAAAGGTAAGCAGAAAGATGTAATTATATTTTCAGTGTTTGATTTCTTGGGCTGAGTGGTGGGTGTTACTATTTTCTACATTTTCTTTTTAATCAAGATAAGTATTTCCACACACAGAAGTAATGATGGAGTATGTAACACTCTGGAAAATACTGCCTCAATACTAACAAATCAGCTGATTACTCAGACTTTGGAGGAGTAATGTTAAGTTCAGACTAATTTTAAAGAAATATGTTAAAATACATTTTTACAGGTTAAGTGATTAATAATATATAGCAATAATTGTTACTACTTGTTACAGTTTTATAGGTCTTTCAAATTGTTTTTATACTTACTAAGATCAATCATTGTTAGTCAGAAATTTTTATCATGTTTCCCAATATGTTCTTTAGTTTAACATATTAAATGCTACTTTATTAAAATATTTAACGTTTTACCTTGTTTTATTTTACTGCTTATTTTTATTGAGGTATAACTGACATTACATTATATTAGTTTTTGGTATATAACAAAATGATTTGGTATTTCTGTATATTGCAAAATGATTACCAAATAAGTAGTTAATATTAATCACCATACACAGTTATAAAATTTAGTTTTCTTGTGATGAGAACTTTTAAGACCTTCTCTCTTAGCAACTTTCAAATATGCAATACAGTATTGTTAACTGTAGCCACCAAACTATACATACATTGTTTTACATGTAACTTATATTTCATGTGAAATTTAGCAATTTGAAATCACAGGACCAGAGAATATGTGTTTCTTTTAGTTTTCTGGAAACCCTTCCCTTTTAATTTCAATTTGATCTGGTGAGGAATTTATGTTTCTCTTTGTTTTTTAACTAATAGCCTTTTTAAACTCTCATCTTACTGATTCAATTATAACATGCTCAGATATTGTTAAATATGCAGACAATTGTTAAAAATGTTTTATCGTTGAACATTTTATGAGCTCTAGAATTTAAGTGGCTTGCAAGTTTTTATAGTAATTCATGTCTTAATAATTAAGTATAGAATATATTTTTCTATCAGTTTAGCCATTCACAAAGAATTTTTAGGAGCATTACAACCAAATAATAACGACTAGCATGGGAGGCAAAAGGTAAGTCCTTGGGGTCCTGCACATTCCAGCAGCACCGAGCAACCCCAAGTAGCCACAAGTCAAACTTTTTGATAAGTAGAGAAAATGTAAGTCAGTACTGGAGAATGTCTACTTAGATGTTCATTCCTTTGTTATCAATAGGAGTGTGATTAATACCATCCCACCTTTCTGAAAAATAGTGTAGCAGAAGGTGTCAAAGCTTTAAAAATATGTATACTGGTTCCTTCAGAAATTCCTCTTTCAGGGCTACCCAAAGGAATGATCTGAAATGCCAACAAAGATTTGTCCACAGAATGATCATGATATTATCACTTAAAACAACAGGGTGATCTAAATATTCAATTATAAGAGAAGAGTCAAGTTGTTTATGAATTATTATGCCATAAAATAGTATCTTTTACAGTTATTTTTGAAAAACTTTATGAAATGAGAATGTTTTAAAGTTACAATTTAATGTGAAATTTGCATATGTATATTGTGTATATTTATTGCATTGTATTTATCATATGGCTTTAAATATATGCATAGAAAATGACAAAAATTATCTTTTAGTGATGGAATTATGCATGATATTATTTTTTATACTTTTCTGTATTTAAGAAAATATACAATAAAACTTTGCTTTAAAAAGATTCTTCTTACAAAATATAGCATTATGTAATATTAAATCTCAGTCAACATATATTTTCTGACTTTCCAGTTCCAATTTTCATGCAAAATACATTAGGTTATCAAACAAACAATTTAAAGTATAGTTAAACAATAACACTGTTTAAACCTCTCTTTCATCACACCATTGAGAAATTCTAGTATCCTTTTAAAGCAAATTATTCCTCATAGTGATGAATTTCATATTTAATTTATAGGTCTCATAAATTTTGCTAGCCTCATCTGATTAAAAATTTTATTGGGCTCTTTCTTGAATAGCTTTTTGAATATTTCATTGTGTAGATCAATTGTCTAAAGCAGTATTTCTCAACCATTTTTTCACCATCACGTCTCTAAGGAGCCTTTGTAGACATTTCCCCTAGTTGCCCCCACTCCATGAAATTGTAATATCTGCTTATGTAATGCATATATATCTATAGTTTATACAGAGAGAGACTAAGATGTTTTTTCACTCTCACAAGAACCCATTTTCATCTTTGGTGATGATATATCCCCCTCTGAGAATGTGTGCCTTAAGTGAACATTATGAAAAAAGTGTTTTAACTTTCAAAATGAATCTGAAGCCCATATGTTTTGTTTTTATAGCTGCCTGCCGCTCAAACATCACGTGGTGACCACTCCGACACTGCTGCTGTGGGGAGAGAAAGACACATTTATGGAGGTTGAGATGGCTGAAGTCACAAAGACTTATGTTAAAAACTATTTCAGGCTAATTATTTTGTCAGAAGCCAGCCATTGGCTTCAACAGGAACAACCTGACATAGTGAACAAATTGATCTGGACATTTCTGAAAGAAGAAACAAGAAAAAAAGATTGACTTTCTATATCTTGTATGAGGGGTCTGTAATAAAATGTCTAAGTGATTTTTTAAAATTGTTCATCAACTTCTTTAACCTTCACTAGGAAAAATTGTTTTAACATGCTTTATTATAAATAAGTACCCTGACAAATGTTACTGAAAAAAATCTGAGAATGTGTATGAATTTGTAACATAATGTTGATTTTCTTCTGTTGTATTTCACACAGAAAAACACCTTCCTTAAAATGTATACACTTGTACAGAAAGGAAGTTGGGGAAAGGCTCAGTTTTGGTTTCTTGTGTTTTTTACCCTGTTAACATATAGTGCCTTTTACATATGCATGTTAAAGTTTAGCCATATTGAAAGGCAAATCTGCAATGGTATAAATTTTTATTTTATTGGTTAAAAGTTCTTTTAACTATTTTTAACCATTAAAAATTCTATTTTCAAATCTCTTGGATATATAGTGTATTAATTGGTTTGAAGCCAGATATGACTAGATGAATATGCACTCTTAAAATATGTCATAAGTACTACTTATACTGGGAAGATTAACAAGAGATAATGTGAAGATTCTCATATATACATGTGTTTTTTTTAACAATGCAAAATAGGGAAGCGTATCCATTATTAGATTACTTACCTCAGTTCTCCAGCTAAGTTGGTCAGAGATTTAGGAAAAGCATCAAAATGTCCTTTTGCCCCACTCAGTGCAACAAGAATCGAATACCATACTTCCCCTGTGCTCTAGAGTCTAAGCTCCACAGGGCAGAGACTTTTTATTGTTTTATTAACTGACTTATACCCAGCACCTAGCAAAAGGGTCTGGCTCATTGTAGGAACTCAAATATTTGCTTAATAGATAAATAATGTATCTGATGCACTGCTAAGCACTGTGGGAGAACGATAAAGGAAAGATGACATGGTCATATAGAACTTTCCCTTAAAAAGTATACACAGAATGCAGTTAAACAGGGTTTAAGAATAGTAGTGCGTATACGAATAAGAGTGGAAAGAGTTACAGAATTGAGAGCAATACCACCTCAAGGGGTTACTCATTCTCTTGGGTTGCTCTCCTTGGCAAGGGAGACTCCAATAACATTGCCAAATCATGGCTCCTTAGAAACTACAACTGTGTTTCTTTGGCCGAAGGAATGTTTCCTTCACTAATATAGTTCTGACAGTGACAGAAGAAAGGGGAATATCCCTAAGAATTCTTATCATTGTACCTAGCAGCTTGTGTTTACTAATAAAAGCCCATTTTTTATGTATATTATACTTTGCCTCATAACAACATTGCAAGGTAGGGAGTATCACCAGTTTACAGATGTGAAAATGAGGTTGGCCAATGCCCACAGTGTTGAGTGTTGGAACCAGGATCTGACCTAGAGGCATCAGGTGTAAAGCCCATAATCTTTACACTGTGATTATGTCTGTTTAACTGGTTCCAGTGTCCACACTGCTCTTCCTGTTTATTGCTATCCTGGTGTGCTGCAAGAAATAGAAACATCTCTCAGAAACCTTCAATTTGACTTTTAATTCTGAGAAAAGGAATTTAAATAAGCAATTAGCAAACACAGGAATATTCCATACAGCACTGTCAGAGTTGCAAATGCTACAAAGTACAGAGGTTCACACAGCTTTGATTATGCATCCCTCTTGATCATTTCCAAAGTATAGCAATAAAAGGAAGGGACAGAGTCTGTTGACTGTGTGTATTGATGCAATGAACTGATGAATTAATCCTGACTTATTTTAATGAAAAACTGTTACTGACAAAGGTGATCTTAAGGTTTTTTTGGTGTTACTTACGTCAGTTTGGAATGCTGACTGGTGCATGTGGACTAATGTTAAGTATGTGAATCAATCACACCACGGCTGATTCTGGCTTATGATAATGGTATATTCTAATTCTCAATGGATGTGGAAGAGTGTCTGTAACAGATACAAAGGCTAGAGAGTGCCATCAGTTAAACCTTTTAGCATAAAGGGATATTACTGTCTCTGTAGAAATCAATTTGTAGGGAGAGAAAATAAATTTGATTTACCAGCTGCCAAAGCATCTCGCAGGAAGTGAACTGTAATAATAATGGCATTTAAATTTAAAAATTGTCATAAATATTCATATATTTAATATATCCCTAGTAGCTATATACTATATGCTCAATATAAGTGTCAGAAATTGCTATATATATGAAAATAATTTATTAAGCATATATATCAAAAGGAAGATATTTACAAAAAGCAACAAAGTATATTATTGATACGATTCTAATTCTCCTACTGCAACATTTACCATTTTTAATTTTTCAACTTTTAAAGGTAATACATCATTTCTTATTAATATACAACTGCCTCTAAGTTCTAGTTATGTGTGAATAGAAAGAGCACCACTTGGAAGGAGTTGGCTCTTTGGGTCGACCCCCTATCCCAGCTACCTATGTCTTGAGATTGCTGAAGAGTCAGCCTCATGGCCCAGTGGTCCCCCGAACTGGGAGTTGGAGGTGTGGGAGTCCTCCTTCACCTGGGGAAGAGCAAGTCCTTGTTCCTGCCAGCGATGGCCAACCCCTTGGTGCAGCAAAAGCACATCAGTGCATGGCGCTGGGCCTGCATCATCTTCACGGGCACCGTGCTGGGTGCCTGTGCACGTGTCCTGCCTGCATCACCATCCCCTGGCCTGTGGTTGTGCTGTCTACCACAGGCTGTTCTGCTCACCCAGCCAAGCCTGCCAAGAGTTGGAGAAGAAAATTTGTGAAAAGAGCCCTCAGATGCTTGTTTCAGGTGACTTTCTTTGTAGCTCGGTTCCAGGTTAAAGTGCAGGGGCGTCTGGAGACGAAGCCCCTATCTCCGTACGGCATCACGCTCCACTTTCTGTGGCGCCGTCATGTGTGTTGGGACAGGGTTACCCTTGGCGGTCTGTAAGTCAAAACACACAGATCCCATGGCTATCACCACAGCCGGTGCTTGTAACTAGAGAGGACCGCAATTCCAGGAAGACTACCCGGGGTGAAATCCTGAAGCTAGTGACATCTAAAACAAAGTAGCCACAGATCCTGGTTTTCCTAAAAAGAGGGTGTACCCCATCGCATGTGTCTGGTCGCTGGACCCTGAGTAAACTCTTCATCAGGGAAGAAGTAGAGTTCATGTCTGTTTACATCCTAATTGACGGAGGAAAAAAAAAAGACCCATCCTTTCTGCCAATACAGTGAGGATCAACATGGCAAATGCCCCCCGGGGTGCCTGTGACAGACCATACTTCTGAAGACTGCAGATTGATGATTACCACAGGTAACCTTCAACTACTCATGGAAGCTGGTTTGGTGGAATTTACAAAACTTAGCCAGAAATTGAAATTAGATTGGGTTAATATCCATCAGCATTTGGATGAATATGCTGCAATCTCAGTTGCCGCAAAAGGAGGGAAGACAGAAATTGAAGAATTCTCAAATTACTTAAAACTCCTAATTACAGGACACTCGAGACAATCTTTTGTCCGTTTTGACAGGAATAAGGATGACAGCATAAATTTCAGAGAGTATGTGATAGGTCCTGATTGTCCTATGCAATCCTGCTGACACTGAAAAGATCCTGCAAATGTCTTTTATGCTTTTTGATCTGGATGAGGATGGTTTCACGACAGAACAGGAGTTAGCTGTTATACTTTAGGAAGCTGTTGGAGTGCCAGATCTTGATGTTTCCAGACTCTGTAAGGGAATAGCTAGATGGAACCCTGAGTACATTTCATACAAGAACTTTCAGAAATTTGCCTTGAAGCATGCAGAATATGCCAAATTATTTAAGTCATACTTAGACCTCCAGGCAACCTATATATACATGTATTAACACAAATACAAGTTTAATCACTGTATTTAAATGTTAAAATCAGCCCTGAAAATGGTGCAAGTCCAGGCAGAAACTATGAAACAAAAATATTTATTTGAGAAAAAACAAAACAGTTTTTACTCTAGTGGCTTGGGCACTTAATTATGATATTTAAAATGTGTTTGAGGAATACATATATATATATGTGTGTATATATGTATATGTGCGTGCATATATATACACATATATAAAAAATTTTATAGTGCCTAATTTTTTCTTTTCTTTTTTCTTGAGCAGTAAAACTTAAGTTAGATATAATTGCCCCTTTAGCAGCAATATTAGTAAATATGTCATTTTTTAAAAATTTAAGATACTAAGAAGTGTAAGATTAGGGAAAAGAAGAAAGAGATCCTCAAATGTGTACACCTATTATAAAACAACTCTCGATACCTGTTTTAAAAGGTATGTAATAATTATTTTAGATGTGTAAAATGTGAGAAAATGTATACTTTAGAATCTAAGAAGTACAGGTAAGTGTCATGTGTGGCAATGAGAAGCAGTAAATGCATGTCTGAGGAGAAGGCTGGTGACCAAGAGTCAGAACAGTGGCACACTCAGACACAGAAAAGGGGTCAGGAGTCACCCTGACACCCTCAATAACCATTGCCGTCTTCGCAGCCTGCCCAACCATCAGCTCTCTGCCCTTCTCATATGTCCGGAACAGCTAATGCTCATTGATTCTAGATAATAGTTTTTTTTCTCATGAAAGTTATTTTTAATTAGATTGTTTTGATGCTCTACCATTATGGATTGTTGGCAGTAACTGACAGCCTAACAAATGTACACGGTGGAAACATGTTCTCAGTAGTAATGACAGACTGGCCAATGGAATGTTATACATGTGAACTGCAAACTTTTGTTTTTACTCTGAGCAAATGAGCAGTATATGGACATTTGAAATATATGTCTGTTTAAAATTCTATCATGTGAGGTTAGTTGTTCAATTCTATAGTCCATTTTATACTTTTTTTCCATATGAAAAGTACCTTACAATAGCATCACCAGTTGTTCATCAGTTTCCTTCCCATTATGTAAAGTCTGTGTGTGCCTACCCTCTGTCAGTCTACAAGTTTATTGTGACACATGTACATGGAATGGATTGTTACCTTTTCTCCGCTTCTTCATGCATGGGGTTGACATCTCCTTTGGTCACGTGGACTCTATTTGTAACATCTATGGGCTTCCTTTCTTGGATCATAGCCACCAGTTTCTATTTAATTGGGCTCCTCTCTAGGGCATTCAAATTTTTATTTTTTCACTTGTTTATTCAGCTTTTTAAATTATTATCAGTATGATGGTTAGTTCAATGGAATCTACTTTGCTGTGCTGCAACACAACTTCTGGGCATCCTGGGCTCTGGCAGAGAAAGGTCATCGGGAGTCTTGTGAGGAGAGACTGGGGCCTGTGGCTCTTGGAAGAAAGCCAAAGCAACAGCCACAAGGATCCCTGTGCTGAGTCACTCTCCACAGTGCAAATGCCATACTTCTTGGGTCAATAAGCTTATTTCAATGTAACTTTTTTTATTGTTGTGTGATTACAGTTGTCCCCATTTTACCCCATTACTCTCCC